TAATGTGCTTTGTAACTGAAGTTCATGGACTGAGAAATGTATTTTAATCACCTTTCTTTTTGCTTTGCTAAACCCCCCTGTTAAGTCTGTTTGCATTTCTGAGTAAGTCGTACAAGTAGATACTATTTTCTTACTGTCTTAACTGTGCATTGTATGTCTGAAGTAGAAGTGTGACAAAGGCTTGAAATTGAAAGTTCCTCTGAAAAGGAATTGCTATTTTTTTAAAAAACCTTTTTTTTTTTTTCTTTCTGCATGCTCGAGTTCAAGCACATGCTCTCTTATAATAACAGTAGGTTATAGTTATATCTGTAAATGGCAACAGCTGTGTCATCGTATTACAATCATGACTGAGAAACTGCGTCACCACCAAGGTTCTTGGTGTTTGAAAAAATGTCAGCTATAGAAAATATTTCAGGAAACACATGCTAGTGAGATATTAAAATGGTCTTGGTGAACAGAACAAGCATAACATTTGCCAGTTTCTAAAGTCACACAGAACTCAAACAGGTATTGCATTTCTTTTTTTTTTAATCATCACCTCAAACTTGGTTATTTTCAATGAATTTTAATTACTTTTTGTAGAAATGCATCCATTTCTCCCATGAGAACAAATAATTGAGTAGCTGGTACTAGATTTTACTTTCAAATACAGAGAAAGTGTCATTGACCAAGTTGATGTCTCACTTCAAGGTTTCTCCTTTTTTAAATCCTGAAATGACTACTTATTCTATATGTGGTTTCCTGAACCTGTGGTTTTAGTTAAGTATAGAAAATTTAAATCACATGAAGTTACCAAGGTACTAAATAATGAAGCCCAATAACCTTCGTATAAGCCCCTCCCCCCCAAATTCCTGTTTCTTTCTGAGCAATAGTTTAGAATATAATTTTGTTGATTAAACAAAGGTCAGTAAAATCTCCTCAGTCACTAACTATTTAATGGATATAAAAGCTTAACATTGGTACCTTAAGGATTCTACAATGAAATGTGTTTTATTAATCCACCTTTTTGTCAGCTTGATCACTGGTAGAACAACAATCATGGTAGGGTTTTTAGTTTCCAGACAATGTCTGTTATGGAATTTTATGAATAACTGGAGTGAGTTTGTACTTCTGTGAAATGCTTGTTGGGATAAAAGACATACTTTTACACTGATTGTAGCTTAGAATGGCTTTCTGTTCTTTGTCCATACCTTCAGAGATTTGTGAAGAGAAGCAGCTATTGCTTGGATGATTGTAGAATATATTGATTCCACAAAAATGACTGTTAAAAGCAATATTTACCAAATTAAAATTCAGTTTTAACAGTAGAGTATTACTTTCATCTGCTGATCTTTCTCTCCCTATCCCCTTCCTTCCTTTATTTTGGTTGTACAGCAGTGAGTGGTGTTGACTCAATATTTGGGAAATTATCATTCACTATTTGTTTTACATAGGACTGTCTCTTTTTCTTTCTCAGTTATACATCTATTGGAAAGTAGCATTTGCCTGTGTGTGCATTACTGATGTACTTTTTGCAGTATAGTAACCTTCAAATACCTTGAGAGAATGGTTGATTCTTCCGCAATTCCCTAGCTTTAGTATGAATGTACTATGTATTATCTTTCTCCTTCAGAACACATTATTGTAGCTTTTCAGATTGGGAATCTCATACTTTGTGCATATTCTTAATATTTTCCCATCTCTAATCTTACAGTGTATTCCATTTCCCATATAGAGAATTGGATGAATATTTTTTCATATATAAATACAGAATCATAGAATAGTTTGGGTTGGAAGGGACCTTTAAAGGTCATCTAGTCCAACCTCGCTGCAACGAGGTCAGGCTGCTTAGAGCCCTGTCCAGCCTGACCTTGAAAGTTTCCAGGGATGGGGCATCTATCACCTCTCTGGGCAACCTGTGCCAGTGTTTCACCACCCTTACTGTGAAAAACTTCTTCCTTATATTTAGTCTACATCCACCCTCTTTTAGTTTATAACTATCACCCTTTGTCCTATTACAACAGACCCTGCTAAAACATTTGTTCCCATCTTTCCTTTAAGACCCCTTTAAGTACTGAAAGATCACAATAAGGTCTGCCCAGAGCCCTCTCTTTTCCAGGCTGAATAACTCCAACTGTCTTGGCCCCTGTCCTCATAGAAGAAGTGTTCAACCCCTCTGATCATTTTTTTGGCCCTCCTCTGGACCTGCTCCAACAGGTCTTTCTGGTGGTGAGGGCTCCAGACCTGGATGCAGAAGTCCAGGTGGGGTCTCACCAGAGCAGAATAGAAGGGTAGACTCATCCCCCTTGACCTGCTGGCCACACTTCTTTTGATGCAACCCAAGATGTGGTTGGCTTCTGGGGCTGTGAGGGTACATTGCCAGCTCATGTCCAGTGTTTCATCCATCAGTAACCCCAAGTCTTTTGGGGGGGGGCTGCTCTCAATCCCTTTATCCCCTAGCCTGTATTGATATTGGGGGTTGCATTGTCTATCCTGACCCCACCCCTACCCCTCTGGGCTGGGTCCCTATACTCTTCCCAGGATAGCTGTCCCTGCTTCCACTGCCTTTGCACTTCCTTCTTGCCCTTTAGTTTAACAAGCAGGTCTCGACTTGGCCATGCCAGTCTTTTGCCTTCCTTTTCTGATTTCTTACACCTGAGAACTGAGACCTCTTGTGCTGTATGGAAAGTGTCCTTAAAGCTCTGCCAGCTCTGTTCTGCTCCCTTGTCCCTGAGGGCAGTTTCCCAGGGGGTCCTATTGACTAATTCCTTGAAGAGCCAGAATTTTGCTTTTCTGAAATTGAGGATCCTGACCTTACTGTTCATCTGACTCATGTTCCTCAGGACTGCGACCTCCACAGTATGTGATCACTGTAGCTCAGGCTGCCTCCAATCATGATGTGACCAATTAGCTCACTTGTGTTTGTGACTAACAGGTCCAGTATCGCATTCCCTCTGGTAGGGGTTTCTATTGCCTGGCTTAGAAATTTATCCTCATGACACTCCAGGAGTCTTCTGGATTGCCAACAGCTCACCTTGCTACTTTTCTAACAGATGTTAGAGTGGTGGAAGATGAGAGCCTGTGAGGGCCATGCCTCCTGTAGCTGGAGTAAGAAGCCTTTGCCAATAGCTCCTCTTGATCGGGTGTCCTGTAGTAGACACCGTATATATCTACATATGCACACACATATATATGCCTGAAAAGGGGGTAGTATTGACTTAGAGATACTTTAATTATGAGCTATTTCTATTTTCCATGCCAGCACAAACAGGTGGCAATGCAAACACATCCTTATACATCACCATAATTTTTTAGAGAATGCATATTCTTTTTGGCAGCTGAGCAATTGCATAAGTGTGCATATAGCTGCTACTCTGAATGCACTGTAACTTGGGATTCAGTTGTTAGAATGTGTGTTTAGATGCTCTGCATGCAACATTATGTACTAACAGTTTGTGATCCTTTGCAGGTCTTCATATTAACAATTTATTTTTTTCATTAAACTGATAAAAATGAGTAGTATGTCAAACAATAGTTTATATAATGTGCTGTTAACTAATCTAAAAGATTTCAGTCTCTAGTGTCTTTTGCACCCACCAAAAATCTGTAAACAGCACGTACTTCTCCCCTACCCCCAAGAGTAATGTGTGATTATAAAGAAAACCCTATATCATGTCAGTTTTTTTGTTAGTAGCTGCTAATTGTATGATTGGTGTAGCCAGAAAAAATATTTAACTGCTTCCCAAGTAAACATTCATCAAGGTTCTATTTAAACAACCAACTCCGTTCTTATACTTAAGACTTCTTGCTGTCTATTGCTATAATAGAACTTGGAAACATGAGCTAAATGTTGATAGGGTCACAGTTATCGGAGTGATTTGAGGTATGTCAATGATGGAACTAACATTATAGCTTGAATAAATTCAATTATGAAGTAAATATTAGGTGCTATACAGCAAGATGACAGAAATATGATAGATAATGAATCCTGTTAGTCTTGCCCTGCAGTGGCTTAGTGAAACATCCTGTTATCTCTGGGCCATTTTCTGTTATTATTCAGTATTTAAAGCTCCTCCCTCAGTACATGGCTTATAAGTGTTGATAATTTGAAATGCAATTCTTAGAGCAGATGGAAGTAACTACTTCTCAAAATATGATCAAACGTGTACACACTGTATATGAAGATAGATAATGAATATATTTGATCTCTTACATTAGCAGAATTGCTGAACTTATCTATTCCAAAAAAGTGAGTCAGGACTTGAGAGTAAGGGATGTTTGTTAGAGGAGAAGTGAAGAGGAGAATGGGTCTAAAAGCTGGAATTAAATGAGTAAATAAATCTGGGTTAGTTTCTGATTTGAATGTGTGTAGTACTTTCATCTTCAAGTATGAATAAAGCAATGAAAATGGAATTAATGTTTTGAATTTTCAATCTCTTTTAGTGGAGAGTTACTAATAAGCATAAAACATGCCTAGTTCATGCAATGGTACTCCAGCTACCCTATTCAGAGTACAATTTTTCCCTTTGCCTCAGCCCGATGTGTTTTCCCTTTACTACATCAGGAACTCTGGCTTCTCTTACTAGCTGTGATTCAAAGGGTGAAAAGTCAGAGCTGCTGTGGCTTTTGTAGTTAATCGGAAAAAATAGGTGCCTGTAGTGGAGAAGAGTTGGGTATGGCATTAACAGGCAGACAGGTAGGAAAGGAATTGCAGATACCATAGGTATCTAAAATAAATCCTCCATGTATTTCTAACGCACTATAGCTGTAATGAAATTATGTGTGTTTATATCTTCTTAAATTTCTCCTGTTTATTTCAGTGATACACTGGGAAAGATTTTCTCTGTAATAAATATTACTTATGATATAATTAATATTTTCAGAGTAAATGCAGTTTCCTTTTAGAGAAGGAAGCAGCTATTTAAAGTTTTTTTTCTGCCGAAAGAAGATTTGTGATTTTTTTTTTTTTTTTTTCTCCCTCCTGTGCAGATATCACTTTTGGAAACACTGTGATTCTGAGAGAAAGGAACAAGAAAAGTGGTGGTATTGTGTGAATGGAAGAGAAGATTAGACAAGCTGAAGAATTTTCTCCAGCAAATATGCTCTGGTGATTTAGCAGTTCTTGGAACTAGTTCATTATCTCCATATAAACAAAATGTTGTTTACATAACCCTCCGTTTTATCTGCTGCTCTTCTTCTGTGCTGCACTACAAAGGTAAGTGCTGCTGAAAATTGTATGACTGCTGGAGTCATACACCTTTGGACATCATTGCAGGCTGTAGTGGAGCTGAGCCCGATTTCAGTAGTAAAGGTGACAGTAACAATGGTGCTTTAGGCTTAGAGCTCTCAAATATCATGAGCATTATCTTTTCTTCCAAGATTTTCTACGGCCGATCTGTAACCCAAATTTAGCCATCAAAAGCAGGATGCTGCAATATTTAAGGAATCTCTCTCTTTTATTACATGAAAGAAAAAAACCCAACAAACCACAAACAGTAGTAGTGAAAAGGTACGGCCAGAATGCCATAGGGGCTAGTCACAGAAGTGCCACTCTATTCTAAGCTGGACACAGAGGCTAGGAGATTTGAAGTTGTACTGATTTTGGCTGGGATAGAGTTAATTTTATTCATAGTGTCTACTATGATGCTGTGTTTTGGATTTTTTGATGAAAACAATGTTGATAACACAGGGATGATTTTAGTTACTGCTCCACAGTGCTTAAGTAGTGTGAAGGCCTTTTCTGCTTCTCACCCTTCCCTTCCAGGAAGTATGTGAGGGGTGGGCAAAAAGTTGGCAGAGGCCACAAATGGGACGGCTGACTGGCCAAAGGGATATCCCAGACTATAGGGTGGCCTGCTCAGCAATAAAAGCTGGCAGAGGGCAGAAGGAAGGGGGAGACGGTCAGAGTTATGGTGTTTGTCTTCCCAAGTAACTGTTCTGCGTTATTGAGCTCAGCTTTCCTGGAGATGGCTGAACACCTGCCTGCCGATGGGAAGCAGTGAATGAATTCCTTGTTTTGCTTTGCTTGTGTGCACAGCAATTACCTGTTAAATTACCTATTAAATTATCTTTACCTCAACTCGTGAGTTTTGTCACTTTTACCCTCTGATTCTCTTTCCCATCCCTCTGGGGGGAGTCAGTGGGTGGCTGGATGGGGCTGAGCTGCCTGCAGGGGTTAAACTAGGACAGAAGTTCAGTCCTGATTCTGAAATGGAGTAGCGAGCAGTCAAATGTATTTTTGGGATATTTACACCAGAGGCAGAACAGCTCAGTGAGTGCAGCTCCTTGTAGCGGGGATATAAGTTGTGGTCTTTTGAACATGCCTGAAACTGTACTGTGTATTTAGTTAACTTGTGGTGTTTGCTGTGTCTAAGCTAAGAGCATAAGCACTTGCTCAGAAATTTATATGAAGGACAGAGAAGTAACAGCACCTTGAGGAAGACCAGGCTTCTTATTCACAATTGTCCTGTTAGGTTTTTTTGGTGTGTTCCACACACCGCGACGCCACCTTCCATAGGTCAAACCTGGAGGGGAAAGAGGCAACAGCACTTGTTCCTTCCTGTCATCCTTGCCCCTGCAACTCCAGATTTCAGTCTAGATGTGTAAATAGAGACTGAGATGAGCTAGCTGAATTTCAAGTTAATAGGAGGTTCTGACATGTTCTTAGTATAATTTAGTGCAAACTTCAGGTTTTAAATTTCCTTCAAAACAGATCTCAAGGGGAAAAAGATTTTCAGAAACCCTGACTCTGGATGCTTCTTACTTGATTTAATTGAAAATAAAGAGATACTTGAAATATTTTTGTGCAAGTAGATCTTCAAAGTGTAGTTAATGTCAGAGTCTTCTGTTGTAAAAGATCCAGCTCTAAAACAGTTCAATCGCTGCAAGTTGAATGTGCTACTTAAGTCAGATCACAAATCAGTTTTATTCTGTTTGCTTTTTCTGTTTCTATTTTATCTGTTTCATCATCACCTGTGCTAAATGGACCATGCACTTCAGGTGTCTTCTAGCAGCTTGCAAAGACCAGAAGATTTGCTTTTGAGGACTACTTTGATTTCTTGGAGTTTTCTTTAGCTCCTTTGAAACTCTGAAGAAGGTTCAGAGCTTCAGATGACCTGCAGAGTGAAGTGCTATGTGGCATTTTGCACCGTTGTCACATTATGTGTGTCTTCTTGGCCTGGGACTCTGGTTTTTTCACTTTCCTTCTGCAGATTGTGGTCATCTGTGCAACTTTCAGTTTATATTTTGTAATAAGAAGGGAAGGATACGGTGCATTCTCATAACTTCACCCATATTAGTTTGTGATGTTTGATTTTTCTTGATTTACTTTTTGTTGAGTGCCTTAGTATTTAAGTGTGCTCTGAGGTCTTTTGAGGGTTACGCTGCATACAAGACGTGTTTGGGTTCATGTTCTGGGTTCAATATCTGTCTACAAGGAGCAGACCTCGGTGAGCCAGAGGGTGAGTTCTAGACCTGGGTGCTTCAGAAAGTTTTCAGTACCCCAAGCCTTAAGTTTATAATTTATTGATTAGGTTCTGGCATTTTTCAATAGCAAAATATGGTAAATCCTGGCATTAAGCTTTCTATCTATAGACAAGTGTACAGGACAGAGATGTGGGAACAGTTTACGTAAATTATTTTCTTATTCGGCTGAATTTACCTCAGCTTAGTTCCATAATTTTAAATATCTGGGATAAACTATTTAACAAAAACCTTAACGTTCCATGCAATTTGTTTAAGAAACTGAGTAAGAAAGGTAAAATCGAAAGTGGAATTTGTCTGTCTGTTTACCATCTGTCTGCTATAATGAAGCTCTATTGCTATGAACTAGTTTCATACTATAATTGGTAAATATCCATCTTAATGGTTTTAACAAAACAACTTAAATGGCTGTGAAGGAAAGTGAATGTCTGCCCAGCATAGTTAACAACACTAGCTCATGTAAGCAAAACAAACAAAAATACGTCAAAACCCATAGAGATGAAGCTTAAAAATTAGTGATGTTACTCATATTGAGTGATATTGCTCATAATAATTAAGAGATTGATAAATCAAGAAATTTGGTGTTGTCTTTGTATTTTTCAATACTAATAAGTACAGGGAACGTGGCATAAGGCCAAGTATCAGATCTCTGCAGAGATCTCACTCCCAGAATCTGCCCTGTGCCACTCAGTGTCTCTGATTTAGAAAACAAAAAAAGCTCTGAAACTTATCTACTGTTATAAACCATTGGGCAATGACAATATGGTGCAAGCTGCAGAGTGTGTGAGCACTTGAGTCACTTCAGAGAAACTGGGACATTTTTGTCTTTACAAAAAAATGCATATAAACTTATCTGTTGGACTCTTGCTTACTCAACATGAGGCTTTGCCCGAACAAACTCGATACTCAAACTCAAAGTATTCTCAATATTCCTTGATCCATGCATTTAGCTTGCATTTTAATTCCATTTTAATGTGTAATAGTTAACGTTGAGTGATACCGAACCTTTTTGTATGTATGAATTGCATTGTATCATCTGCTTCTTTAGACAAGTGAGGTGATTGAATGTTACAAGATAAGGGATTGCAGCAATCTGAGCTTCAGGCGTACTCAAATTATGGCACACCTGTTTGGCTGTGACAAAACCTAGATGTGCAAAAAGGAAATTGCTTTTTCAAGATGATTGTACACCAGGTCCAAGACTTAAGATTCCATATATGGTATTAATCAGCGTCTTTGTGTGCTGTAAAATGGTACATCTGTTGTATGACACACATTTTAATAAAGGTATGTATAAAACATTTCTGTTGAATAATTAATGGTGGCGGAAAATAATATTATCCTTTTAATATAAGTTCCAAATTATCTAGTGTCCAGAGATAGAAATATCTTAAAACAAAAATATTTTCAGTTGTGGTCAGTCCTTTCTATTACTGCTGTTTTCATTTGTATTTATTATTTGAAATACAATAGTCCTTCTAGCTGCGGCTTTAAAATAAGGCTGTCCTGAGGTTTTTAGTAAAACACCGGGCATAATTGTTGACTACCCTGTTGTTTGCACACCCTCCTGGCTGTGCTCCTGTCAGGCCTCAGGGCTGAGTTCTTTCTCTCTCATTTCCTGTTGTTTAGCACATTGCTCCTTCAATTACATAATCATTACTTTTTTTTTTTTAATTGGAAAATGTCAAATTGGGTTCTCCTTATTTATAATTATTCTCTCCTCTAATCTGTGTATCAAATGCACTGCATAAAATCTTTTTATTGCATCTTCTTGGGCAGTGTATTGTGGGCCCTGATTCTCCTTTTATGTGACTAATACTGACTTGTAAGGACAGTTTCTCTTCTCAAATAAGCAAATCCAAGAAACTTGTCAAATTGGAAAAGTTGTTTGTCAGAGTTAATTTTGAAATGCAGCGCTAAGCGTCTTTTAAGCTCTTGTATTATGATCTAAGACCTTGAAAAAGAGCAAAGAACATAAGTAATTTCTTTTTTAAAAGGTGGCAATAAAACAAGGTACCGTTATTGAGAAATATATTACTTTAGAGAATATCTGAGAACACATTTTCTGGTGGAAAAGATTTTCTTTTTAAAATTCTAGTAGCTGAAACATTAAACTGACGGGAATAAATAGCTTATTTGTCTCAAGTGTCCAAATGAACTATGTAGAAAATCTATTTTGGCTAAACAAAGAACAGATGGTAAATAATGTGATTGCATTAAAATGACTATGATAGTAGTCACCACATAAAAATGAGCAGTGTGATGCATTTTTCTGAAGTCTTTGTTTTATAGTCTGGAGAAAAGAAATATCACAAGAGAATAAGAGCAAGTCCCTTACCATTTCTTTTATTACCTTCCCAGAAATTAGCCTTATTGTAAGCATATGCATGAAAGAGAGGCTACAATAAGTCATAACGGTTGAGGATCATTTAGACAAAACATCACCATTGTCATTTTCTTTGAAATCTTTGAATGCAAATGAACACAAAGGAAGCTTAATAAATATTTTAAATGAAAATGTTATTGAGTTACATGAATACAAAAGGTCTATTATTCTAATACTTAATTAACTGAGTTTTTAAAAGTGATTTTGTACATTGCTGGCAGCACTTGGCACAGTTTTAAACTCCCTATGATTCTGTCTGCTGCTTTGGTTCTGGTTCTTACACCATTTTGAGACCAGACATTCACATAAATGCTCAAAGGGATTTGATAGAACAAAGGCCAAAGCAT